CGATAGTTCCAGGACTATTCGAGATCATGGCGGCACCAAAGACAGCACTGCAGTTGTGTTAGCACAGCTGTGGCGAGAGGAGATCGGGTGACACCACTTACCCAAAGAAGCGCACAACAATGATTTCTGTTAACGAAGTTGCCAGAGCACATGGCAAGATCAACAAAGCCCATACAGTCAAGCAGACGATGTACACTTTTTGTCGACCGTACAGCTCACTCAGAGGGGCCACAATCAGACTTCCCGCAGCAAGACCAAGCAAATATGTTGTCAAACCAAGCGTTGTCACGGTCGTCGACGCCCCAAACTCCTCGGCCAGGCCAGACACCGATGCAGTGTAACATGTGCTATACAAGACGACGACCCATGTGGAATACGAGACACATACGATGATCCATGCACGATAACCCTTTGACCAGTTCCGGGGATTATCTGGATCACCGTCCTCAAAGAAAACTTCAAAGTCTGGGGGGCGAGAGGCAACGCTGGTCACACTGGTGCCAGTTCTGGTATAAGTAATGGGTTCGCGAGCCTCACGCTCTGCCTCTGTCTCGACATCTGGAGTGAGGGCGTGCTCCAGAGCCTCAAAGACATCAAGGTCGTGGGTGCGGCTGCGGCGTGTTTCAATGGTCCTGATGGGCTCTAGAATTGGCGACGACCCTGTTGAAGAAGCCGAGGAAGACGATTCAGCGCCGTTGGCTGGCGATGCCTCCTCAAGGTCTTCATTCATGGCTGTTGTGAGTTGACTGGCCAGGTGGAATGCGATGGCCGACTTTTACAAGGAATTGTCGTCATGTGCCGACTCAGGTTGGTTGCCCTTGGTTTATAGGACAATACAGTTCACGACACAGGGGGGCAATAGTGAAATGTCTGAATTTTCAGATCAGAGATAAGGAAGAGATAACATTGACGATGACGGGAATACGGCACGCAAGTGAATCAGAACTACAAACAGTTACACCTGCATGGGTAAGTGGTAAATTGCGCCCTAACTAGCTAGGTATGTCCTACAACCGATGTGGGTGCCGAAGGAGCTTTCATCAGCAGTTTAGCCTCTTTCAAGTGGAGATCAACAAACTCTTGTCAGCGCCGGGTGGACCTTTTGGTGGGCTTGTTTGATCACATCTGTTAAGGACTGCTGTGGGCAGGCCTGCAAACACTTAACTCGCGCGTTGTCATGGACCCAGCGGATCAGATAAGCGTCTCAGGTCGGACGAGTCAGCCTAGTCAGTCAACCGATGAGCTACCTATTTCAACCAGATCAGAATTCGACAAGACGTGAACCAAGACCCAGTTGTATAACCGAGGAGCAAAACTGAATAAGAACAATAGGTCATGCTAGATGCGTCATTATACCCCGCAAGCCTTCACTCTTGGCGCGGTTTGCGATATCGAGCTCTCCTTGGTCGGCGCCGAAGTCGGAGATACTCGGCCGAATGTGCCCCCCTTTCGGAGCCGCTCCGGCCCCACGACGGCCGGATCTGAACCTTAAAGGTGGTAAATGCTTGATTGAACCTTGATCGTGAGTTAACTTCAAAGAGTCACATCTGATGTCTCTCCGATAATTCTGGGGTTAGCACATGATTATCTACTATTTAAGCCTCGCTGTCCATGCAGAGTCTATCTATCAAGGTATGTCACTTGTTCAGCTGGATCTTAAGGGCAGCCGTGTAATCTATTGACTTGCTATTAAGGTTTATTATGTTTCTTTGGGCGTAGTGCATGACGCCTTATATTGTGTTTATGACTAAAATTCCATTTTCCTTTATACATTGTCACGATATCACTTCCCTCTCCAAGGGCATCATTGTATAGCCTTAACTACTAATCGCTTTTTCAAGACGGCTCTCGGATATATCCTTGGGTGACGTATTTTATCGAGACTGAGTTCTGTTTGTGTTGTTAATGAGTATTCATTGGAAGCTAACCGCCAAGATTCGTTTTAAGTTGTACATTTATCTCATTGGTTCACAAGTTTATATCAATTAAAGAGGCCATTGCCTGGATAAGCGACGCATTACTTGCCCATAATACATGAATTGGTCAGTATCGGACGAGGCTTAGTTCTTTAGACGTTGTTTGGCTATCATCGTTCGCTCCATTTAAGATGATCAACGTTGAGTGGGCCTCTATGGGCATGGCCGAGCTAGATGAGGGTTTCCTCCAGACACTCTATCCACAAAACAACGAGGTTCAAGTCTTGGTATTTTGTTTTTTTGTATTGGCGAGTCTGCTCACAGCTTTATGGCACGACCCTGGCACCCCTAACTCATATAGATTTTGCTCAACTAGGTAGCAGGTGTATCCTTATTTATACATGACACTCTTGTCCATTTCCACCGAGACATTCTTTTTTCCGGTTCTTCCACGAGAAATTATACTTGTTATGCTTTCCCTCCGGTACGCCATGCACCCAATGAGGTCTCAAAACAAGACCAGTATCAGGAACTATACACATATGTACAATGATTATCTTCACCCAAATTTGGGCCTGGTGTAATGTAACCAGGGTAAGTGTATGCCGTCCAACGTTGAGACAAAATGATGGCCGCCGTGTTGGGCGGGTATAGACTATTTCTAATAGTAATGTTGAAGATCCGAGTTGTTGTTGGCTACTTGAACGCCCATGGGTCGTCCTTGTGCTGGTGCTGGACCTCGAGGCGGTTGTCGGCCTTGACTGGGACCGCTGGGAGCTGATACGGGAGGGTTGTTGGATTTGCTGAGCGGCGGGTAGGCGTCATCATAATCCACCTGTGGCCCGTAGCCGCCCTGCTGGTTCTTGGGCTCAACATCGTCGAGAGATCGATAGTTGTAGCCTCCTCCTCTACCACGACCACCACGACCGCCTCTGGCATTGCCACGGCCGCCACGGTTACCTCGACCTCGACCTCCTCGGCCACCTGAATGATAGCCTCGGGATTCGTTGCGTCCGCTGTAGTGGCCATGGGGGTTTCTCTGGTTCCAGTCCTCGTCGCCGTTATGCTTCCGTTTAGATGTTTTGTTGGCAAACAAACTCTCGTACTCGTCTTCCCTTGGATCCTCTGCCTCGATGCGTAGAATGACCTTCTCACCAACCACAGTTTCGAAAACAAAAGACCTTTCCTGTGGCAGGGGTTGCCAGTTCTGAATCTTTCCCGCGTCCATGGGTCTGATGCCCTTCTTCAATGCTAGCACGACGAGCGGACTGGGGTTGTCGGTATGGAACTTGGCGTGTTGGGGGATAGGTCGAAGCTGTGCTGCCCAAATACTATTCTCAAAACAAGCTGTGCCCACTACCTCCCACTTCATCTTACTGCCCATGCCGCCGACCTTTTCCAGGATACTAGCTGGGCACGGCCGGGGGCAGATGAGAATGTTGTTGCCATGGTACTTCAGCTCATGCTGGGGCATGTTTGGTGGGATATGTGCGAGCTTGATGAGCTTCTTGGTGTCCTCGGGTCCAATCATGTAACCAGTGAAGAACACAGTCTTCTTAATCCTGAGTCGATTCTGGCGTCCTCGTGGGGATTGCTTCGAGACCATCTCGTTGTGGATGTTTATCATGTGCTGAATCTCGGCGACCTCGATCACGGGATCTAGAGTTGTCGCGCAATCAGCCACTTGGATCACTTCAGCTGTAAGAGGGCCGCGCGTTGGGGATATGTTTTGTTGGCGGTTGAACTCGGCGAAGAAGTCGCGGAAGCCTTTGGTGTGTTTCGGTCGATCCTCGTATACGCGAATCTCTTCTGCTTGCTTGTATGTCTCCATCAGGGCCCCGAGAAAGAGTTGCTTGAAGTGCATCGTACTTTGGAACTTCTGGTTTGAGGGGCTCACGGCGGGTTTGAGACCAATCATGTCGAATTCGAGTCCTTTGGCCGTCACCATCTTCTTTATCAACTCAGCGAACCCACGCTCCGAACGACCCGTTAGTAGAACGCAGAGAGCGTCCTTCTGCTTCATGCTCAGCTTGACAAGATCAACAATTTTGTCGTTCCACCAGCCATCCCAGGCACGCTTTTCCTCGATATCGATGCCTTCCCCTGTCGCCGCGAGGATGCGACTATCATGCCACCAGCCGCCATTGACAAACGTTTCCTGATTCGACAATGTCCCAATCGTGGGGCCGTTCCACAGTTGGGGGTTCGGGAGAGGGGTCTTGAATACTGCTTTGTGTTAGATGTATGCTATGTTTCCATTGACTGAGGCGCGAACTCACGAGTGTTATCGAAATCGTAGACGTGCAAGGATTTGATCTTGTCGACGGCTGCAGAGGGTGAATTAGCGTTATGTATGGGAGGGGGAGGGAACGAGATAATGGGCATGATGCAACACGAACCTGGTAATGAGTTGTTCAGAACGGACCATCGCCCCAGAGCTGTGATAGTGTGTTGCGACGCGGTGGCTGTAGGCCCATGATATGCGCTGAAGGCCGAAGCCATGGCGCCTGAGATGCTGAGTCTGCGAAGGCGAGAAGACGCTGATGCTGTTGCTTTATACGGAGATGCAAAGAGCATACAGATGGTCGTACGGGATCGCGGCAAATTAGGATGGAGGAAATGCGAGGCTAGAGTTGAATTGGCGATGGTCGATGATGTAGTTGAGGTCCAAGTTTGTCGACCCTTGAGAATAAAGTGACGGTGGGGCCTTGGAGTTATAAATGCGACGCTACTGGCCCAAGGCAGCTCCAAGGCCTGTACAGGCGACAGGCGCCGCATTTCAGGTCGGGCCAGATGGAGAGAAAGTCACAGGCGGGCGGGTGCTATTCAATTTGGATTTCCATGGATCTCAAGGTGTAAAGTCAATCAAAAGGTGTGAATCATATTTTGTGAGGGCGTATCAGAGCAAGCTCAACAAAGACAACCGCTCACCCGAGCTCCATCCATTACATACTCTCTCTACCTTATTACCCCTCATTAAACTGAACTGAACTGTACTGTACTGTACTCAGCTGGGCTGAGCTGAGCTGAGCTGCAGTTACTTGCATTTCACCTGACACTCTCTATTTTCCTCTGCCCTTGACTATGGCGTCGCCTAGTGCTATTCGCTTCGTCACTGGCACCAAAAAGTCTCCTCTGGGCTCTCTGCATCTTCAGCTTCGCGTGAAACCTGGAGCCAGCAAAAACCGCGAGGGCGTCATAGCCGTCACCGACGATGCAATCAAGCTGTGCGTTTCTGCTCAGGCGAGAGAGGGCGAGGCCAACAAGGCCGTAGTTCAGGTTCTCAGCGGTATATTGGGCGTGCCAAAGTCTAGTCTTCAGCTGACACACGGCACCAAGTCACGCGATAAGACGATTGTGCTGGGTGGGATCAAAGGCGACGGAGAGGATTATGCAAGGAGCATACGGGAGATACTTGACAAGGCAGCCGAGGAATAGTCAAACACGAGTGATAGTACCTTATGCACCCACCTACCTGGGTATACACTATTGGCTGCTTTGTTTCTCTCAACATATGAGCTTCTCATTGGTTGGCGCGGTTCTCTTTGAGATAAAGACTATATTACTCGATTGTTATTGCCTAGAAACGCTTGGGACTGGCTGAACATGTCCTTCCGCTGGTTCCCTGTCGTCATATCGGTTGTGTATGGGATGAGGGTGGCTGACGTTAGAGTATGGCTTATATTCTACCTACCTAGCCTACCTACACTTCATTTAAGCTCACGAAGTAAAACCTTAGAATAAGTTTGACTCTGATGGGAGAAAAGAGTCTTGGAGTTATCCACGTTGATAGTAAAACGCCATGTCCCCTCCCCGGAGGACACATAATTACGTGTGGTGGACCATCAAAGCATAACAACAGATGATCAAGTGACTGTCAAAACTCCTCATGGCTCCTCTTCATGTCAAGTATTGACGTGGCTACATACGGATAAATGCACTGATGAGTGCACTAGCTTCGCCAGGCATCTCTTCCCTTCGAACCCACAGTTGTGAGCATCTCGATGATATCGCACGAGGGGGTGTGGTGTGGGAAAATACCTGCATACAGATACTGCATCGCTATTTTGTCTGTCTGAACCCTAAACGCATGAATACTCGGCAGTGGTATTTGGGTATTTACCGTCTTTTTCCTATCCACAATAATGTTTCATAGAGAGAATGCAGGGCTGCATATCAAGCCCTGGGGCTGAGAAGGAAAAGGCCCACGGACTACTGAACGCGTATGCGTCTCTCTCTCTTTTCTTCTTCTTTTAAATTACCATGCGCTGCCCATCGGCTTTTCTCATCATCATCGATATGTTGAAACTCGATCGATCGGAGGGAAGGGATTGTCACCCTGTCGTTCTGGCCGTGGGTAAAAGAGAGCCCAACTAGAGACAGAAAAAGATCGATGCCCGATATTTGACAGTCCCTTTGATTTGGTCCAAGCGGCTAGGGCGCAAGTGTCCGCTATGTCGGGAGGATTGACAATGTGGTGATCAAGCTGAGGTTGAACAGAGACAGGAGGTAAAACTAACGTCCCAACAAGAGATGGGACGAAGAGTTCTGAGTATACCGGAGGCCTCTGGCACTTCTATTAGGTTTTGCAGAGCAATAGCACCAAGTTGTACGTGTGTATGTACTTGGTGTTCAATCGCTTATCGGAATCTCCAAACAGATTATCAGCGCATGCAACTTGAGGCCCAAAGGATCGGCAATCCCTCACTCACTCAGGTCTAGTTTGTAGATCGATACTTCTCGACCCCTTTGACCAATTTAGACACCCAATATTCACACACCGGCCGGCCGGTAACACACAAGACCCCGCACCCCATCCTGCAGCACAGAGTACCCGATACTTGTTGCCCAGCCCTTGGGATACAAGCCATTACTTCACAGTGCTCAGCGTCATATCGATCGCTAAGAACAGAGGAGCCACAGTAGCGAGGGGTCGGGTTCTTCTCTGTAGCCCCAGCGAAGTCGCACTCCCTATCTTTGGTGCTGAGAGTGACTCTGCTGTGGCTGAATGCCCTCAGCTTGCCAAAACAGGAAGCATGTCTGGCTGATTGACAGATACCATTGGACGCTTGTTGCACAACCCACGGGCGGGATCTTCTCATGTCCCTGCCATGTATATCACAATCTCTGGTCTCTCTTTCTTCCCTCTGAATTGGCAGTTTTCGGGGAATGTATCGACACTTGTCGAGTGAAATGTCTCCAGAAACCTTTCTTCTTTCTCACCGACCTTTTATCACACTCCTCGCAAAAGAACCGCCCCTCAAACGGTCGCCCACGGTGGTATGTAGTCTTTCTTGGCCGCTAGAGCCGCTTAGCATTGCACTACGGGATCCCTTCAGGCCCAGGGTTTGTCGTGAGTTTGTTAGCCACAAGTCCGGCGTTTTGATCGACGACACCCAATGATGGCTCATGTTGAAGATGACTTGTGGCTCAAGGCTCGTCGATCCCCTCATGACAGCGCACGCCCTCAAAGACTAGGCTAGGTAGGTAGGTACCTATTACCTAGTACAGGCTCCAACACCTATCATATGGATGCCGAACCAGTCAGCGTTGTAAATAATCATGTGAGGTTTCACTGATGTCGAAACGCATGTATACTGTATCGCCACCTATGAGGGGAATATGATGTGAACTGTGGCTTATCATTGCTCCCCTGCTGTGGCGAGTACATAGAGTACCTAATTAGTTATGTCCGTCCCTGGCCTAGGTCCCATTGAAGCACACCACAGTTGTCGGGGCCTAGGGGGCCTAATTATGTCCTGTATCATGTCTCATCCGGGCCGTTGACTGACCCTTGCTCAGCTCAGTGAGCCAGCCGAATTGAGGGGGAGGTGGCTTGGGAGAGCAGGTGAGAGTGTTATGTAGAGTGTGTCGCGTACCCGCCCATCACTTTCAATTGACAATGGCGATCCCATTCCCCTGAGGCGCGAGCTTAACCTCGATTGTGGCTAGTAATGACCAGTTGCGCGATCATGACATGGGATTGGGTCCCAATGTCCGGGTACCGCCATGCGCCGGATCCAATGTTTGCATGATAACACAATTTCCCATGTCAACGGGCACCGGGACGGGAGTATGTTGCCGACCGAGATGCTCTTGAACTGCAGACACCATGCATGCACATAGTTGGGTCATGCCATGCCATCGCCGATGAATCGAGACTCATCCGCCAAGCCAACAGCCAACATAGGCGAGGCAACAAAAAAGACCAAAAGGCTCTGAGCCAAAAGGGTTTGTCCCGATGGGGAAGAGTTATTCCATGGATGTCTGGATCGTGCGCGCGTCCTTGTGCTCGGTGAGTTACTCCATCATTCTCACGCCGTGAGCTGGGTGGGCTGTGGGATACCTCACTGCAGCCGCCTCTTATTCCCCTCAAACTAGACAGCGCATCGCAGATTAGAACAAACAGGTGCGACAAATCATATTCCAAGACGCGCCAGGCACCTTGTGCCCATGAAACATCGCTAACACGTCAATGTCCAACAAGACCTTCTATCATTCCTAATCAAGTTGAGCAGAAGCTTGACTCACTTACAAGCCACAACGTTAAATTGATCCTAGACTGTGAAGCTCGACGTATGTAACCCCGGAGAGGAGACACAGTATGATTAGGTTTGTATAGTCTGGGGGAACACGCAAACCCCCTCGCCACAGGTGGCTAAGCTCGGCACTTTGTTCCTTTCCACTCCATCTTGGCAAGGTACTCGGTCGACCAATTGCTATTTACTGAAATAGTAATCTGCTCGGAAAACGGCTCGAAGTCCCCTTGGCGAACTTGATGGCCCCGTGGCAATGTGGCTCATGTCGGTGTAACCCAATTGCGTTGCTATTTCCGAAATCTGGCTTCGCTTTCTCATAGACTAGTTAGACCATCTCTTTGAGTTTGCTGACCTATCCTTTCTAATTATTCATGCCGCTTGGCGCTTGTAGTCACCGGGTAGAAAGTCCGGCTTGGCCAGGATATGGATGTTTGGCTCTTGAATTCCCTACCCTTGTCGCTCATTCGAAACGCATTATCGATGTGCTAGCCACGAAGTGGTAGCCTGGGATCGAGTCGTTATGATTTGTCCATGACACGCATGTAAACAATGCTTCGAATAGCGTGCGCTATTGCACTATCGGTCCTGGGTTCCGTGGGTGAGATGGCACCATCTGACCCTCAGCGACACAAACGCAAGCCTGGTAGTAACGAATAGCGGCCGTTGAGTGTCAAATTGGTCCGCCACCGATATTTGGCCTAAAGGACTCCACAAACGGTTGAAACTGAGGCCCGAGCATAACTAAATGCTATACTACATACCTCAATGCCTCTAGACCTCGCTTTATGGTGAGCACTGCTGTTGTTAGATGAACCATGAAAGATCTAGGGCATGCTTGAGATCTTGAACAAGTGTGGGTATTGTATATGGAATTATATGTACGTCGTGTTCCCCAAGAACAAGATAGATATCCCATCTTACTCGCTCGCCCCGTCTCTTGCTTGCATTACTTCGTAAGTCCTATTTTCGTGTACGCCGGACTCATCCGCCCATGGTATAAGAATGTGATGCATATACGCTTCTGTGTTTTGCTCGAATGCATTCAAGAAAAGATGTAATATCGCAGTAGAAATATGATGATGTTGCTTCCACGTCGGAGGTTGGACAGGCTGACGAGGCTGCCCGTATAGCGAGTTGCACAAACGAATATATGTTGCTTGGCGGGATGTGGATTTATGTAGCGAAGATCCACACGCTTACATTGTTTTCGAACAATGCGGTAACAGGCGCCAAGAGTGTGCGCTCATCTTCGTATCGGGCAATCCGGCCATTTCCACATGAGTGCATCTCGGCTTGCCAGGGTGCTGTCCGTTGATGAGAGAATTAAGGGCGGTCCAAAAATTCTCACTAGTACTTCTGCTCGACGCGAGAACAGCCGCCCATCCCATCCATCGTCTGCCAAATCCTTATGGCATGCGTCAAAACAAAAAGGGTACTGAAGTAGTTGCCACGGCTGTCACAAGTGTGGCAGCAAAGAATGAAGAAGAAAGGTGAAATAGAATAGTCAGAATAAGAAGAAAAACCGGTGGTATCATTTTTCAATAAGAGTAACAATCGTCAACGCCCCGGAGCCAACAATCCCAATCCGTATATGTATGTGATCGTGTGTCCAACCTGGCGACAGGCCGAGAGACCCCAGCAAAACAGTACAATCCCAAGTCTAGACCCATATGTTGCTTATCGCCGCAAACTCATCGCCGTGCGTACTCAAGGTAGCATGGCGGGAGTTAAATAAATAAATAAAAAAGGACACAAAGAAAAAGGGGGGGATAGGGAGATTAGAAACTAAGACGGAGAACGAAACCACTTGTTGCTTTGTCGTTGGATTCTGCAATGTCTTCGTTGGCATCGACAGCCATTTCCCATTCCCGCTTGACTGCCGGTCCAGTAACTTCTTGT